TATCTACTGAATTCAAAGTGAGCTGAAGATTTCAAGGAATCCTCTTCTAATTAGTCTGTGACCAAAGCTTGGAAAGTTACATTTTTAAAATAATGTAGATCTCTCATTTATTTTAGAAAGTTACCTATTGTCATTATTTTCTACAGGTTCCTTTTAACCTTAAGAATTTATGATAGAATGGAATAACATTTGAATAATTGTTATCAAAATTTCCCTAAAATTCCTTAAAATGCCCTTTAAAAGTAACTGTTGAAAACAATCTTGTTCATTGCATTACTCTTTAAATTAAACGCTGCTATACGCTCAAAAAATGTAAATAAGTATAGCTAACCACAGCCTAAGCTTGGCCACAAAAAGAGAACCAACAAACTAGACAAGAAAGTCTAGTTTCATAGAAAGTATTTTTCCAGATAAGTATTTTCCACTCTTTTTTTCATATAGTTATTACCAACACTTTCTGTTGCTAAAGTGCAGGTATAGATCACTTTTTGATGCAAAATGAGGGTGCAAAGTTATGAGATGACAAAAGAAGACAAGACATGAACGAGACAATGGGAAACATTGTATGTTACATAAATAAAATATGCACTATTTATAAATAAAATATGTCACACTTATTCAGTTAAGGGATGAACAATTCTTCCACAGCAGAATAGCTCGTGGGCAATATGTTCCTTAGTGTTTGTCTGGAGTATTAATCAGAATGATAGTAATGAGCAAAATCCTGTTCAATTACTTTGTTTCAACCTTTCTGACTAATGCTAAAAAGACGACAAAGTGAAATCACCAAAAGGAGGCTCTTAATTTGTAAATAGATGAGGTATGATGTTTTTCAGCGTTTCAACAGATGACCATCGTAACAAGGTTATTTTCTCTCATCTCTAAATCTTACTCATGTACTATATGCCCTGCAAAGTACCAAAATGTCATCAGAAGTTTGGGGCTATATCAATATATAACTTGCTGACTCTGTACCATAGAAACAGCTCTGATACCAAAGATCTGCAGAAGTACTAATGGCAAGGTTTTTTTTTTCATCTGTCCTTGTGATAGAGCACAGTTTCAGATAAGCTATCTCTGAAATCTGTGTAGGGTGTTGAAATAGCTTTTACTGACATGCAGTGATGCTAAACAAAGTGCATTAAAACTACAAATAAGTATGGGACTGAAGAGCAGACAATTCTATTATTTAAATTGATATGTGTATAGTATGTAATTAAAACTGTTAAACTGCACTCTCTAAGAAAGTGATTTTTTTTAAAAAAAATCCAGCTTCTAGTAACTTTTCATCATAAAATTCAGTTACTGTATTTTTCTGTGTATAAGACACTACTTTTTCCTGAAATCATTACACTAAAAATTAAGGAGCATCTTTTGCACAGAAGTAAGTTGAAATAGCTGAGGAGAGAACAAAACAGCCATGCCTTGCTTCAGTCACGAGGCTTAGCTTCCTACAGTCAGGAAACTTAGCTTCCTCCAATTTTGAGCCTTATAGAACTGACATCAGCTGATGCTGAACAAACCAACTGGAACATACCTCTTGGAGGTGAAGCCTATAGGCTCAGTTTCAACAGGGACTCAACATGTCCGAAATTCTGAGCCCAGAGGCTGAATACTCAAAGCTAAGTTTTCTTAATTTGGGGATTAGAAAAGTGGGGGGCGTCTTATAAATGGGGGCATGTTATAAACAGAAAAATATGGTACATTACTGTAGACATTTACCCCATGTGATGGCAAAGGCTCTAAACCTCCACCCATAAGCTTCATCATAGATAAGATACTAAATGCTGCAAGTGTCAAAAGCAAGTAAAGTTTTAAAAAAATTAAAAAGCATGGCATCTGCTAGACCAGGGGTCTCTAAACTTTTCAGAGTGAGGGCCACAATATATATGTTCCAGATTTTTGAGGGCCAAAGGAACATGCGTGCAGTTGCATGCCCGCGTGCCCACATGCACTCCCACATGCCTGCATGCACGCATGCAAGTACGCTGGGTCAAATAAAAAGGCAAGGTGGGCCAGATGTGACTCGTGGGCCATAGTTTGGAGATCCCTGTTCTAGACTATACAATATGTAGCTCAATCAAAAATCAAATAATAATTTACACTAATATTCTTTTATTTATTATTTATTTTATTTGCTTAAACTGGACAAACCATTACTCTGGGTAGCTTCCAGGAAAGAACAAAAATGTAGATTTTTGTTGTTTGGTCCTTAAGTCAGGTCCGACTCTTTGTGACACCATGGACCAGAGAACACGCCAGGCCCTCCTGTCTTCCACTGTCTCCTAGAGTTGGGTCAAATTCATGTAAATCTGGCTGAGTACAATAGACTTCTGAATAAAAATTCAAGGTTGCTTTGTAATTACCTTGACTAACATTTAAATAAAATAAAATAGAGGATATTATTTAAAATCTTACTTTATGTCAGTCCAAATTCAAGGAATTTTTTTATTTTTTTAAATTGTTGTAAAAAATGTACAATATAACAATTTAAAATAAAAATAAAATATAAATAAATAAACTTTTTCCTTGAATTTGGACTGACATAAAGTAAGATTTTAAATAATATCCTCTATTTTATTT